TATATATATATATATATATATATATATATATATATATATATATATATATATATATATAATGATTAAATGTGCTACATAATCATTTGGAAAAGAGTTACGTCAGATCGATCAAAGTGAAATGGTTCAATGATAAAAATGTTACCATAAATTAAGGAGTGTTACAAGAAATTGATACATATTGTTGGTATAATGTTGCATGAGAGTTATATGTAGCATATGTAAATTGATACTGGGTAGTGTTACAAAATGAAAAGCTACATTTGATTGATTAAGCTGATACAAATGATTTATTAAATGATACTATAAGTAAAAAGGTGTTACAAAAAATTGATACATATTTGATAAAATGTGTTAGTTAAGGGTTATATGTAACATCCAGAAAATGATACTAGTTAGTGCTACAATAGATGATTTAATGTAACATTTATAATAAGTGTTACCTAATTCTACAATATTGTTACATAAAACAATATGTAGCAAGGGCAACTGTAGCCCCCATTAAAATGCTACCTATGACTTATTGTAACACGTTTTGAAGATTAAGTGACAATTTATTGGAGTTACATAAAGCCACTTTTTTTGTAGCAAAAAAGCTAATCAAACAAACATATTCCAAGGTCACAACTTTAATATCTAATTAATTGTTAAGAAAATGATATTTCATATAAATTTATGCAAAACATACCTTACTGCATATCATATTAGGATTATTTGTGTGTAATGATTCTTTGGTTATATATTTGTTTACTCATGGTTGAGTGCTTCCAGTACATGCATTTTGTACAAACAAAATACACATGCTTAATAACAATATTTTCAATAAAAATGATAAAACTCAATTTTATAAAAATGTTTCATTAGTACAATAAAGTACAATACCTTATTATTATTATTATTATTATTATTATTATTATTATTATTATTATTATTATTATTATTATTATTATTATTATTATTATTTTTATTAATTTTGAATGTGTCTATGGAGTATTGTAACTTAAATCTAATACAATAAAATTAGTGCAATATTTTAGCAAATTACCTACGGATTAAGAATTTGTTTCTTTATCCTTATTATCCTTCAGTCCACAGGTGAACTAGATTTCAACATAGACAAACATACAATTACAAAAAATGGTTAGAATTTACTGAAATATACGGTCTAACATTATATTTCCTTATTTTCATGGATTTTCAATTTATAGCATGTTTGCGTTCTATACACTAAATAAGGATTTATGAATTGCATGCTAAAAGAAAATACAATTTTTTTTTAAAACAAAACGAGTTCACTTGAAAAAAATGCTTGAGCATAAAGGTTTGCTTTTGAAAGAATAATTTGCTTATCGAACAAAATGCAATAAACAATAGATCTAAAATAAATGAACACATATCAAATATTTACGAACCTTTAGTAGACGCCTATCAATTTCTTGCCCATCAGCTTGGATTTGAACCGGACGGCCGTTGTAACTCCGGAATTTGTTTTTTTGCCCTTTCGATTCAACATCAAATTGTAAGAAAAATTCAGACTTTGAACATAATAATTAAGAACCAATATACAATAAATAGATCTATACAGTACATGTGAGATTTATGGTTGATTCGAAAAACTAAGTTCGAAAATTACGAACCTTTGTGTAGTCATCGAACGATGTTGTTTCTCATCATCTTAGATTTGAACCTAACGAATGGTGTACCTCAGATCGACATCCGACCTTAAATTTCGTCGTGAAATTCCCCTTCTTATATCAAAAATCAAAAGACAATTATTAGAATTCGTAAATCGAACAAAACATACATTAAGATATCACAAAATCGGAAGTCTCAGTACAAAATTAGTAAAGAAATAAAATTATTAGCTTACACAGATCTGAACGAGCAGGGAATATGACAGATCTATAAACTACAAGTCAAATTCATGGTAGATTCAACAAAAAATGAAAACAAATAAAATCATACATTTGTGTAGTCGTCGGTCGATCTCGTGCTCCTCATCTCTGATTTGAACTGGACCATTCGATGCAGAACAATTAAAATATTTTTACTGAAATTAATTTGCTGGTGTAAATTTGTGTTGAATTAAATGGATAGTTTAACCGGTAAATTCTTTGTCAATGGGCCGACATTCTTTCATTTGTAATATAGATATTGGGCTTCATTTTCTTTTTATTGCATGCTTTATGTGCTTAATTAATTGGCCCGTTTCAGTAAAAAAAATATAATTAACAGGTTTTTTCATTTATATAATGGGCCAAAATATATATATATATATATATTAAAAAAATATATATGAATTGGCCTACATTATTTGTTTTATTGGGACGATATTTTTGGTAAAATTATGTGTTTAATTAATGGACCCGATAATTTGTTTACTTAAGCTGCTTTACATAATTTGAATATGTTACATAATGTGTTGGTCTATTATTTTATTTTTTTGAATTTTACTTATATAGATACTATGAATTTCGATTTTCCGCAATGGATCACCTGTTGTTAGTAAACGACAGATGACAATTAGATCGGGCAATTCATCAAATGCTTTAAATCATATGCCCTTCACTGATGTTACAAATATTATTCCATTTATATTTCAATTTATATATAAATCAAGATATTCTCACCTTTCATTTTATAAAATGACGATTATTTTATAGCAAGCAAAATAAGCACATATATCTTATACTAAATTATTATATATCAATCAATAAAATAATAAATAATTATTATTACTTAAATTACTTTTATACCGATCAATATTGGTTCATTGGTTTAATACATTCAATTATAAATTTATAATTACTATTCTGTGCATCGCACGGGCTACGTATTAGTTCTACAGGAAACAAATCCACCTAAAAATCACACACCACATAATTTAGGCCAAAAAAAAACTTACCTATTCGGATACGTGAAAACAATCTCACACGTGGCTCTTATTGATATTTTCAAAAACTATAAAAGAGTTCATGGACCAATTTTTAACACACTTCAAACACAATTTTCAATTAGACATTTTTTAGTGCATGCTTTTATAAAAATTTCAAATGCCGCTTTGTGTGGGACACTCTCAAATTAGCACAAATACACGCATAAAATAAAATACATCACCTACAAAAAGGTTCAATATTACATTCCAAATGGAAAAAAAAAATCATTGAATAATTTAGATGCGATTTTTTCAAATGTTAATCGTGTCTAATTCTCTCCAAATTTATTAAAGATTTCAAAAAATTCTTTTGCATTGACCATTCCTAATTTGTCCTGTATTATCTATTAAGAGATTATAATGCCAATATAGAGCTAACTATCCTATATTCTATCTATTAAAGATGTTGACTCACATTGATAAATTCACGTGTGTTTATGTTCACATAAACTCTTCAAAGGCCATTCATAAAATATCAATTGAAGATCGCAGTTAATTCAACCGTGTACAACCCTTATATATCAATTCATTGCGTTTTTTCACATTTGATTTTAGTTTCGGTAAATCAATTCCTTGTGTTTTTATTAGCAGAATTGGAGTGACTTCAATGAACGAAGATGTCGTCAGATAAAACGAGTTCGAGTCGGCAAACAAGAAATTCAATAATCGAATTAGAAGAAACATTGCAATCATTCGTGCTTCAGTTGGTAATTTAGTACATATGCTTAAATAAATTTTCATCATATAAAGATGTATATACGTAGCCGTGCTTCAACTTTGTCAATGAAAAGGAAAAATGCTTAAAAAACTTATGCACTTTTTGTAATTTTGGGCACATATATTTCATGTATCCTCATAATTTGATTAATATTTTATTAATTTTTACTATCACATAAACCACTGCATAACATAACCATCAATTCATATACAGAAAACTTTGCAAAAATCATATACAGTCAGTTCAACACATAAGAGATTTAACAAAAGGAGCAAAAAAGCCATTGAAGGAAACACATTCCAAGATAATCCTTTTAGAATCCATATCATCATGTATGCCATAAATTATATTCCAGATTTTCTTCATTCATTCAGATGCAGATAAAAAAAAAATGAATTTTA